TAAGAAGGAAGAGGTAAAGGAAGGGGAGGTAAATATATTTATTATAAAAGTTAGTATAATAAAATATAGCTTCTTACTTTATAGGGTAAGGAACTTATTAGTTAGAGTTATTATTATTATTAAGGCTATTATTACTATTATAGCGGTTACTATAAGTATATATTAATAGAGTAGCTTATATAGCTAGGAATAAACTAACGCTTTAAGTAAAGTAAAACTTACTTATTACTACTATTATAATAGTTAAAGAAAAGGGAGAAAGAAAGGAAAGAGGGAAAATAGGATACTACTTTATATACCCCTTAGTAAAGGAAGCTACTTAAGGCTAAGAGGATAGGCAACCTAAGGCTTATATAGGTCTAGGCCGGCTGCCAGCTACTTAGGGGTATATATAATAGGTTACGCCCTTATTTAACTAGCTAGCTAACTAATAAGTATAGAGCTAGGTTCTAGCTACCTAAGCTAATAAGCGTAGGGATAATAAGGCTAGTAGGGCTAGTATAATTAATAGGAAAGGGTAAGGTAGAGCTAGTAGTATATAGAGCCTAGGGCCTAATTATATAGAAGCTATTAATAAGGTAGCGCTATACCGCGCTTAAGGGAGGGTATTATATAAGAGTCTTTAACTAATATAGGTTATAAGCTTAAGCTATAGCTTAAGCTATATAGTTATATATAAAAGGCCGGATCCTATATATATATATATATAGGCTATCTATATATAAAAGAGCTTTATATAGCTTATTAATATTATCTTATAAACGGTACTTATATATATACCTTTACTTACTTTATAATAAAAGGAGGCCCTTAGCTTACCTTTTCTCTATAGCTCTAAGAAAGAAAGGGAAGCCCTTTTAACCTTCTTAGCTAAAATAAAGATAGGAACGGCTTAGTAGCTTAAAAAGGAGTATCTTAGGGGCACTAGGGCGCTTAGGGGAGGGAAATACTATATAGGAGGAACTAAACTAACCTTTCCTTTATCTTTACCTTTATAGCTACCCTTTCTATAATTAGTTATAAGCCCCTAGGCTTTATAGCTACCTAGTACTACTAATAAGGGCCTAGGCCCTTATTAGCCTTACTATAGCCCTAGAGGCTATATATAAGTAATAATATAAAAAGGATTTACTTAAAACTACCTCTCTTCTTAACTAAATATATATAATATAGTAAGAGTAATATATATTATAGATATAGTTAAGATACTTTTATAAAAGGTAGGATAGTAATAAAAGTACTATTAAAAAGTATAAGCTAATAAAGTACTTAGGTATATAGGACTAATATATTAGTAGGGTATTAGTAGGGAATTATATATACCTTGCTCGTAAGTTATAGGTAACTTACTACGCTTACTAAAGAGAGAAAAATACCTTATTTAATAAGCTTAAGTCTTATAATAAGAGAATATAATATATATAGTATAGTACCTCTAGCTATCTCTACTACCTAACTAATTATACCGTAATATATATTCCCTTATATTTACTATAAAGGTTATATAGGCTTAATAGAGCTACTTAGAAGCTTTAAATAATAGGCCCTTTTATATAGAAACTAAGCGGGATAGCCCTTCGAAGGCAGCTTATATAGAAGCTATATTCTTTTCGATATATTATTTAAATAGGAGCCTAGATATAAAGAAGACCCCTAGCTACGGTATATACCCTTAGTTAGCGAGGGCGGGGAAGAGTTTTCTACCCGTATAGGGGAAAACCTAGCCTAAGTCGTGAACTTCGGCAGCATATTACGCACTCACTAGTAGCTGCGCGAGGCTGCACTTAGGAGGGCGTAATACGCTATTTACGAGGGTTCTAGGCGTATGCTTTTTTTGTATTTTAGGCTTGGTTTCGAAAAGTTGGCCGAAAAGACGTGATTGGATAGTAGGTAGTTAACTATCTTAACAGCGCTTCTGCCAAGAAACAGAAGTATTGATTTTGCATGCAGGTCATTGGTCGACTTGATATCTGTAGGTTGGTCTCTCTTTTCCAGGTGCCACGGCGTGGGGTCTGGCTGCCTCAATACAACGTCTGGGCCTGCAACATGCGGCCACTTTCCCCCAGAAGGGAAGACCGCCATTGCCCGACACAGAAGAGTAACGAGTTACTCTCGATTCATGATAGAAATCAAGGCTTGAGAGCACAGGCCCTTCGGAAGATAGTCTTGGGGCAGGCAGCTAAAATAGTCGCCGAACGTTTTGTGGGGTGTTCAAGGGCATGTTCAACGCAAGCTCTACATTCTACACTAGTTACATCCAATTTATTGCAGCGGTCGAGTACTCGAACGCCAGAGCATCAGTCAATGTTAGGTCGTGACATGGTCTTGGCTTCTCTTAGGCGTTGCCTTGCCTGTCTCGGCAGCTTATAGCTTGATAACCTGGTTGACGCAGGCAGCTCGTTGCGGCCAGGGAGAAGCCAAAGGGGCTCGTTGGCGGGCTGTACCACATGTTGCAGACCATGCAATAGCATCCTGGTCAACATACAGCGCAAAAAAGGAAGTCTTGGCCGACCAGACCACGTGCCAATAACGCGCTCTGCCTCATCGGTACATGTTTCTATAGCTACTACCTACACACTCTGATGTGCGTCAACTCGGCTGCCCGCGCCTAACGAAGCCGCCTGACCTAACCGGCCAATTCACAGACTCTTCAATCCATTTCTTGAAGTTCTGAGCCACTCCTACCGTTTTCTTGACTCAGCTTTCGCCCCCAATGACTATGAGGCTTTCCGCCTGGTTCTCGCCCCTCCGTCGAGTGCGCCCAGCTGGGCAGACTATTGTAGCGTGCTCTTCCACCGATGGCAGGTTGGCCCACCCAACCTTCGACTAGTCCATCGCGATGATAAGAGTGAAGGTAAGCTGGAGAGTAATGTGACATATACTATCCTTGCAAATAGATTGAGTACGGGATGGAGCCCGCCAATATCTACTCTTGGTCCGAATCATTTTACTTCCTACGCACTGTTAATTGCCTGGCTCTCCCAATATCGGACGAACAATGACGGGTGTAGCACTCAGAAAATTAAACGGAAAATGCATCCAGCCTCGACTCGATAGCTGCTGCTGGTTTGAGGCAATTACCAGCCATATAGTTGGGAATAAACACGTCATCATACGATAGTGCATGGCCGTAGTACCAGTTCAATAAGTCCCGTCCCTGCACTGTTTACAGAATCACTGGCCGGCTACTGTTGAAGTACATAGAGCAGGGACTGCGGTCTTCCCAGGTACCAAACCAAACTTTCAGGGCCTTTGAATATGTCTCGAGAACCTCCGTGCAAGTGTGAAGTGTCTTCTGCACGTAGCTTGCATACGACGTCAAAAGATGCCAGAGAGAAGACGTCAAACGTGTAAGGCCACTGCATCTCGGTGTTGGTTAAACAGCATTGTGAAAGACGAACGGTGCGCTGCGTCGACGCAACAAGAACACGCAGCTGAATATCGATGGTATGGTTGGAGGTCTTCGGCGAATACTCTTAGTTAGAAGCACCGCTAAGTGGACTATCTCGCTCTCTGGCACGGCACCACCGATTCCAGGACATTGTATAGCCGCCTCCTCGTGCTTGAGCAACTCGCCGAAAACATTCTCTTGGCGAAGGGCTGCCGCGATTCTCCTCCCCAGCCTGGAAATTGTACCGAAAGGAAGCTATCAGTAACGCAACGTTACGTTTGGGACCAGCATGATGCGGAAAGTCTGGGAGTAGGGCGACTGAATGTATCGCATTGCGATGCGTTTGCTGCAGTTCAGTCAGCCCGTCGACTTGCTAAATGCCTCGATATTCATGGCTACATTCACTCATGAGTGTATAGCCCCCGAGTCAAAGTATAAAAGGATTGCCTTCTCCCTTATTCATCGTCGCTTGGAGTTTCATTGCGCTTCAGTCCCATGACACCAAGCCCAAAATTTCAGCCCCTTCCCTTCCGCACTTCAAATCCTTGGCGAACATGAAGGCCGCAATCCTCCTCTTGACACTTACTACCGGGCTCAGCCTAGCGCTACCAGAGCAAGACCAGAAGAAAGGATCGGCAGAGTGTCGTGCTTACTTGCGTGGCTGTCGTGTCGACTCGGATTGCTGTGAGCGTCTCCGGTGCCATTCGAGGCTGCACTGGTGCATCTGGGTAATATCCTTCAAAACGCATGGCGATTGAAACTGGCATGCTTATCAAGCTCTGGATACAGGACGGGACATTTGGTCGGTAAATATAAAGTGGTACTACCACCAAGATCCCTCTTTCAGGTCCATGCTCAAGCAGTACGGCAACAGGAACATGTGTCCGGTTCTTAGGGAGAAGGTGTTCCTACCGAGCTGAGATGAGAAAGAGGGCCATTGTGCTATTTGGAGATGCCGAGATGCTGTTCCTAGGCCGTTGAACGATAGTTGCCGCAAGATGGCGGTATTCTGAATACCCATTAGGTTTCTAGCTTACAGATGTACGTATTCAACCAATATTAGAGAGTTGACTACATACTTAGCCGTCAGGCTTGTGGATGAGGATCGGATAACACCTGTACAAGCAGTGCGTTCAACAATGGCGTTCGTGAGGCCCCGAGCAGGATGACGCCAGACCCAGTCCCGAGTTACCCGCGCCTTCGAAATAATAATCTTTTAATACTGTCGAGAATTCATTGTGATTTATAGTGGGAGACTCGGCAACGAGCTACGTCCTCTAATGTCTGATCTCAGTAGCGCCGGCGCCCCTGCAACTCTCCATTCATACTCAGCTAGGCTTATACAAAAGCACCCTCAGGTGCATCTTCGTCGCCGTACGCCGTGGCATATTGAACTGCCTTGCGGCGCAAGAAGTCCATGGAGAGAGGGACAGAGTGAAACTTCTCCGGTCGTTTGTAGGCGCCTGCCAGTGTGAAGCCGGCCGGGTGATTGCGTGATGTATGTACCCGTGCAAATGAGCGAAACGAGACGTATCAGAGAGCTGTTCAAGCGAATCGCGAGGTGATTCGACTCAGGACCGCAACGTAGGCATCCGTTCTCAGGCAGCGCTCAAAGGTCCGAGGAGGCATGATGACTGGCCACCCACCCGGCACGGACGAGCCAGAACATGGCCATGAGCGGCGTCGTGAGCAGGCTGAGCGCCCCTCCAAGAATCAGCTTGAAGACCTGTGGCGTCCACCGACCTTGATACCACCAGTCGCCACTGTCGCGTTCTCCGACCACAGTTAGCAGGCCGACGGCGGCGGGCCAGAGGGGCACGAAAGCGACGACGGCAACAAGCAAGGCGCGCAAGAGATGCTGGATGAGCGGGCCGAGCCTAAACAGGCGCACCCTGGCCACAGGCGCCGCCTTGTGGTCGGGCGGGAGGAGGAACAAGGCACGCAGCAGGTGGTGCTTGGGCTCGCGGCCGGCCCAGCCGATGGGCTGGACGGCGCGGTGGGCCAGGTCGTGGGCGACGAGGGCGGCTTCGATGAACCAGGTGATGATGCACTGGACAATGATGGTGACTGCGGCGTCGCCGGCCAGTGTGTTTGGGAACTGGAAGAGTCGGATAGGGGCTTTGGTTGTGTCCTGTGTCGTGTACATGGCTGGTGGGCTCGTCAGCGGGAGGAATGCCCATGTAGCGCGCTATGAGAACCCATGAATGTAGATATACATGAATAGTTGTGTGTGTGGGAGGAAAGGCGCAGAGTATGGCAAGCCAACAGACAACATAAAACTGTCGATGAGGGGGCACGCAAGTAAGATCCTGTGAGCATACCATAGGCAAGGGCAAAGTTAATGCTGCCCGAGATTGCCATGCCGCCGAGCCCGCCGAGGACAAGCATGTAAAAGACTTGATGGCATGTCAACCAGGCGCTCGCTTCCGCCGGCTGCCCCCCGTGGCCGGAGCACCAGTCCTTGTCGTCGATGTCAACGGCATCGACCCTCTCCGCGTCCCGCCCCGCCCCATCGTCGCCCGGCGACTGCCAGAACATGACGTGGGCGCGGAGGGGGTTATGATGGCGCCGCTGCCCCGTCGGCCGGCTGTGACTGCGTGTTCGCGGCGACGCAGGAAGAGGCTTGCGAGAACGGGTTGTGTATTGAACGAAGGGCTTCGCGTGGACACGTCAATGGGAGTAAGGGGGGAGCCCCGTGTAAGTCGGAAAGAATGCAGACGCGGAGGCGATGCGAGGAATGGATCAAGGGCATAGAAGTGTTAGATGGAGACGCCGTGACTCGAGGACGGAGCACGGGTCAAAGAGATGTCGAAGCACCTAGGAAAGGACAAGCTTGCAAGCTTTCGGCTCCTGCCAGGCCTACCTGTCAGTGACTCCTGCCCTTGCCACCACGATGCCACGTTGGTTGGGGAAATTGCGTTCCTTTTCCACGAATCTTACTGGTCTGAACCGCATAGGTCCCGATGATGGTTCGCGACCCTTTCCTTGAGAATTCTCCGGGTCCGGGCGGAGGAGTTCGTAGGTCCGTCCCGGGCGGCGGACTTCGGAGTCACGGCAATCCCATGCCGTGCAAAGAAAGCCGATGGGGGAAGGGACATACACGGTAGAGTCGAAAGCCTCCGCTATCCTTCATCTCACATGTTGCTGCCAGTGCTCCCGCGTTTCTCACTTTAAGAAATTTTTCTTTTCTATTCCCCTCCTTTCCGCCTTTGTAAGCTCTAGCACAAAGCCGATCTCAATACTGCATAAGATACTATGCAGCCCCTGAGATGAGCTCGAGTGGTGAGAGCGGGTCGCAGCCAAATACTAGATGTTTGCCGTTACAGCCGCTCCTGGACGGTTTGCTCGGCTTCCGACGCGCTTCTCGCAATTCGCTGACTTGTTCAAAACCTTTGCCGCCGGCTCTCTCGCCCATGTTCATCATGACTTTCGGTGTGTCGGGCAGGACTTGCAAGTTGTAAATCCACCGAGCTCTGGCTTGACTCGTCCTGCACCGTGCCATGCTTGCGACAGCTCGTCGTCCGACGAATAGACCACCCAGAAGCAGTGTAGAAACGGAGGCAGGCTCCTTTCGCCAATCCAAACGACGACTGCCGCATGGCCGTCTTGTTGAATTGCGCCTGGACAACGCGGATGACCGGCACTGTCTATGAAGGAAAAATAACGAAAAAGCTAACCACCCGATAATGCCAAAAGATATGGTGGCCCATGGGCCTACATAAGCACCCGTCACATTACCTTATAAAACCGAGCAAACCCTGCCCGGCATCAGGTTAAAACCTCAGTATGCCCTCCAGTCTGAATGTCCAGCCCAAGCGAGAAGCATCGTGAAGAGGACACTCGGACACATCAGCACGGCCGACCCTCTTCGATTTGCCGCCCTGCAGCTACCAAGTTGCTAAGCCAGGACCAGCTCTCTCTTGCTGCCGCCGCCGTCCGCCTCCTTTTCCTTCTTGTTCCGGAAGATGGCCTTGAGCATGTTGTCCCCGTGTCGCGCCCGGGGCCGGAACACGACGTCGAGCCCGTCGCCGTCGCCTTTGCTGCTGCCACGCCCGTCCTCGAGGGCCTTGGTCGATCTGTCCTTGCCAACCTTGACCGACCGCTTGCTCCGTGCATCGCTGCCGCCGCTGACCGAGACGGCGTCCGGGGGCGAGCGTCTGCGGCTGCCGCCGCTGCTCTTCGGGTCAAAGGCCTCCTTCTCCTTGGAGTTCTTGCGGTGAGATTTGCTCCTCTTGCGCGTACGTGAGCTGCGGTACGACCTGAGGTCAATGTCGAGGTCGTCCTTTGCGTACTTCTCGCGGGTGGCGCGGTCGGCCTGGGGAGTGATGAGCTCCAGATCTGCGCTCTCGGCCCCGGGGCCAAAAGGCAGGATGCCACGGCGCCACGTCTCAATGGTGCTGAGCTCCTCGTCGAAAACGAGGGCCTCTTCGACGCCGCTGCTCTGGTGGGCGTAGTCGCTTTGGGTGCGTAGGGGGGCGGGACGGTCTTCGGGAACGCCCTCGAGGGCCCTCGCCTCACGTGGGGCCTGGGCGTCCGTGACCTTCTTCATAATCTTCCAGCCGCCAAACATGACGACGGTGACGCCAACGGCGATACCGGTGCCGATGAGAAACTGGGGCGAGGCGAGCAGGGCAAAGACGGCGGGGGAGCCGCCCTTGAGCAGGCCGAGGAACGAGGGCGACATCTTGGCGACGGCCGAGGACAGGTCGGCGAGGGTCAGGGCGACCTCTGCGGCGGCGTCGGGCTTCTCCTGCAGGCTCTTGATTATGGTGGTGGCCGAGTGCTGCAGGCAGTGCGCCTCATCGAGCAGGCCTTCGACCTTATGGACGAGCTGCTGGGCGCGGTTGCGGTCGAGCTCGGAGCCGCGGCCCGGGTCGAGGTCGACGCGGTCGGCGAGATCGGGGGGAATGTTGCCGTAGGCGAGGTTCATGTCGATCTCTTTGCCTCCCGTGGCTATATCGGGCTCCGAGCGACGGCGCGGGACCAGCATGGCGTCGGCGGTGGCTTGCGAGACGTCGAGCTTGGATAGGGCCATGTCGAGGGGCATCGTCTCGGCGTAGGGGCTTCGGTAGGCGACCGACGGCGGCTGCTGCTGTTGCCGGGGCGCTCTGCTGGGGGGGCGGCCCGACACCTCGCTCAGGGTCTTGAGGTTGATCTCCGTCAGGGCCCCGCCACGAGGGTGTCGGTGGTGGTGATGGTGGTGCCTCGAGGAACGGCGGCTCCTCCGCGAGCCCGTCTCGCTGTAGGCATCGTGCGATTGGCGCCGGCCGCCGTAGCTGTAGTAGTAGTCGTCATGGCCGTGGTCTTCTTTGTAGTCATGGCCGTGGTCGTCTTTGTAGTCGTAGTCGTCGTCGTCGTCGTAGCCGTCCTTTATCTGGCGACGGTCGTAGAGGCGGGCACTGGGGTCGTAGTCCGACTTTGAGCGGTGCGAGTCGTCGTGGCGGCAGACGCTGCGAGCGGCGTCAAAGGTCTGGGATCGCCGGACGGAGCGCTCCGACTGGAGCTCTGCTTTTTTGTCCTGGTAGGCGCCCTTGGCCTCTTTGAAGATGGAGAGGAGTTGTTTGCCCTGTCGGCGAGGGAGCGGCGAGGCGTTAGCGCGGTTTGCGGTATAGGGTAGCCAACTTGGCCTCGTACGATGCGTAGTGAAAGGAGGAGACAGGATGACGAAAAAGCATACCGTGCTGATTATCTTGCCCGAGTTGTTGACAATAGTGACGGTCTGTTCCAGAGGCATGTTTCGGTCCTTGCCTTGTCGATGTTATTGCGCCAAGAGTCGATTCTCCCTTGATGCCTGTATATCGAAAGAGGGATATGTAAAGAGTTCGATCAACTCGGAGAAGCAGAAGCGAGGAACCGCAAGGATGCTACAAGAACCAAGGGTTGAAGTAAAGAAAGGGGAGGAAAGGTTGCGTGAATTTAGACAGTCCAGACAAAGGATCCAGAGAGAAGAGGGTCGCTGGCGAGAGAGAGAGAAAGACGGAAGAGAGTCGGTGAAGAGGAGCAGCTCGCAATGTCGACTCCACCGCGGGACGGCCGCCGTCCTTCCCGCCGACGATGGATCTTACCTGCCTGCTTCGTGTTGGCTGTCTGTTGCAAGGGAAAAGTGAAGCGCCGACTCACTGGCGACGATCGCATGGGGGGAGGGGCGGAACCAGTGGTTGACGCGCAAGAAAAAGCAAACCAAACAGCAGCACGGAGCCACTTCAGTCCTTTGCCTTTTGATACCCAAAGATGATGGAACAAAAAAGGGCTATCTTCCACCCCCTGGTCAACCCCGTGTATGTACTGTACCGGTACACCAGACCCAATGCCGGCATCGCTTTTGCCAACACACGGGGCGAGACGCCGATGGGCAAGGGAGTGAGGCAATGGATGGACGGGTGCGCGCATATCCCGATCAGCGTTGTGGCCCAGCCGATTGGTTTCCGCCCGCCTCGCCTCGTCGGGCGCTGTTGCATGAAGCGCAGGGCTCTTTTCCATTCTACACGCCTGAATGAAGTTTGTAGGCCTAGGTGGGTATGAAGAGCGTGTGACGACGAGAGCGCCAAGACTCGGCGCCAGCCAGCCAACCACGAGGCTACCAGACCACTGGGCCGCACGACGCGAGCCCAAGGCTCGACAGAGCCGTGAATGAGCCCATTGCCGATTGCATCATTCCCCCAGCTTCCGTTGGGTATCCATCCACTTATCCACCCATCCATCCATCGTTTCGTCCCCGGCCACGTCACGGCTTCTCAACCTTCCTGCACTGGCTTAATTTCCCTATTTACCTTCCTGCCTCGACTCTCAAGTTATCCTTGTGCTCCGGGTCGAGATCAAAGGAAGAGAGACTGGCTTAGGGTTTGCGATGTGTCCAGCCAAGCGCCCGCTTCCCGGACACGCGGAGGCCTCCACGAGACATGAGATCAATCTGCTAGTCGGTCTGTGGCCCAAGTACGTACCGAGACTGTACAAATAGTACGGATAGCAGCTGTAAAAAAAGCATGTGCTCTCGAAAAGCACGGAGCTGGCCATGGCTGCGAGCCGTCTCCACGGCGAGCAAATCGCGCGCCTGCCTTAATATTTGCGGGCAGTCCTTGGGCCAAAATTACTAGACGCATCCATCTGCCCTAATAGCACTCTTCTTTGGTGCCCAATGATGGGCTACTGCAGTCCATATTCACACAGCCTCAGCCACGGTCACTTTCCCCTAAGACCAGTTAGGTTCCCTCTTTTGAGCAATTAAGCCATTCCATTATTCAGCTTTGTTGGCGGGACCTCGACGTCTCCGGCTTGTCTGTGGCTGCGCTTCCCGCCTCGCGGCGGCAAAGCTGCCGACAAATCGACGCTTCTACAGGCCATTCTCACGACAAGATAAACGCGCCCAAGCTTAAAAAACATTGAAAGCTGTATCCGGTCACCCACTCACGCCTTGCCCTTGTCAAGTTACTTTCCCCATGGGGCTGATGAGAAAGACATCTAGGCGTCCACGCCGAGATACCTCCCAAGCCCGCGGCTGACTTGGACACGGCGTCTACGGCCCATCTTGACTCGCTCATCTCGTCAACTACATGTCAACATCACCGGGCTCAAACACATCCCAATTTCACCACGCTCGTCTCTCGACCATGCCAAAGGTAGAGGATGCAATGCGTGACTTCATAGCATTGTCCATACCTCTGTCATGTACAGTAAAAGCTCTATGCACCGTGAAAAGCAATGCTCCAGTATCCGTCATTGCCATCGCCTGCGGGCATCCCAACTCGGGCTGCTGGGCCTCCCATGCGCGCCGCGCCATCATCAGCCCGTCATGGCGCCGTCTGGCAAACATAATAACGTGAGAAAAAGACAATGGATGGTGAAATCAGAAATGGTTCCCGCCAGTTCGGATCCCGTGCACCCCAGACTCCAAAGATCCAACATGGTCGTGTCCGGTCCCCGCCAGACAAGATCACCCTGGGGTATTATGAGTTGTTCCCAGGCAAGATCAGACAGGCAGCTCATATCGCCTGTCGTCGTTGAAGAGTGCGCCAGCCTCGCCATGCCATGCCACGTTGGGGACGCGCCCCTTTCACCGAGCCGTATGTCGCATGTGTTTTCCCGCTCCTCCATGTCGCTGCCTGCTCTTTCGTCCCGAGAGTCTAAGCCAGGCTGTCTTCGACAATATCCCGCACCTCGTGCTCGTTAAGCAGAATGCGTTTGCCCAGGTTCTCGGGAGGTTGGCCGTCTCGAATCGCTCCAAAGTCCAGAATCTGCCACGCCAACACACATCAGTAAATGGCACCCTGGGAGCCAGACGAGGGAGGGTGGTTCGGCTCACCTCGACATACGTCAGCTGGTCGCGCTGGACAGCTGCCACACATCTCCGCCCATCAAATTTGACCTGCCACACACCACTCAGGTCCGTCAACAGGTCCTGGACGCACTCGCCCGTCTGCACATCCCACATCTTGACGGTCTTCTCGCTGCCGCTAATCACTTTCCGACCATCGTGCTGGAAGCACGTAATGGCCCCTGTGTGGGCCATGAGCGTGTGTCTGCACCGGCCCGTCTCGGGATCCCATATCCGGAGCGTCGAGTCCGCCGCTGCAGACACGAGCCGCTCGTCGCGGAGGTCCAGGAGTCCGACGAGGAGGCTGTGTCCCTCGAGTGTGTAAAGACACGTCCCCGTCGTCAGGTCCCAAATCTTGACGAGCGAGTCCATGGAACCCGAGATGCATCGGTTTCGCTCATGGTCCAGCACGACCGAGTATACCTTTTGCGAGTGTCCCCGAAGCACGTGCAGCGCGTCGCCGGTGCTGATGCGCCACACCCGGACGGTACTGTCGTACGATCCGCTGACGAGGGTGTCGCCGTGCGCCGAGATGGCCCGCACCGAGTGCGTGTGGCCCATGAGGACGCGGATAAAATACGGGCAGTCCGACTCCTGGGCCGGCGGATGCGTCTGGATGTATCGGCGCGAGCCGGGCTGGGGTAGCCGCCAGACCCGCAGCTGGCTGTCCCGTGAGCCCGTGATTATGAGCGGCTTCTCCGGCTGCATGACCGCATGGCCAGTCGAATCCCTGCCCGTCTCGGTCGGCATCAGGATTTGAAGGCAGCGCACAGTGCTAGTGTGGCCATAAAACACCTGCTGGCAGAGACCCCTGTCAATGTCCCACACGCGTACCGAGCGATCCGTCGACCCGGAGACGAGTATGTTGCCTTCGTACTGGAGAGCCCAGACGCCCCCTTCGTGGCCCTCGAGCCGCTTGCGCAGCTTGCCCGTCTTGGTGTCGTAGATATGGATCAGCGTGTCGTCGCTTCCCGTGATGATCTTATCGTCGTCAAACTGCAGGCAGGTGATGACATGCCGGGGGTGGGCAGCAAAGGCCACGTGTGAGGGCTTCACTTCGCCGCTTGTCCAGCTCCGACGAATCATGTGATGCCGGCGGTACAGGGACTTGAAGAGATGCAGCTGACGAAGACTGGGCAGGCCCAACTGAGGGTCGGGGATGGCTTGGGCGGCCTGGTTGGCGGCCGTTAGCGGCCCTTCGGACTTGGACTGCTTCACCTCGTCTAACGCCGTCTGTTCGCGTGAGGCGGGCGCCTCCTGGGCAGCGGCAGCTCGTCGCTTCGATCGTTCCGTGGCCGAGTACGTGTTGAGGCCACGCTTTCGCTTCGGGGTTCTCAGCTTTGGCAGCGCATCCTGACGCGAGTTACGGGTGAGTTCTGCCTCCGAGGATGTCAGGCGCCTGAGCATGCTCAGATCCTTCTCATAGCCCGAAGCACCGACAGGGTCCTGCCATCCCCAACCCTGATCAATGGCCTTCTGCAATTCGCCAGTGGGGAGGGTGAAGCCTTCCCGATCAAAGAGCTCCTTCCAGCCCGTCTCGTTGCGGTCGACAATGTTGTGCCAGTGCCTGGACACCTGGGCGGCCCGGCACAAGTCTCGGCAGTCGACGTAGGAGAGCACGTGGTAGGCAAGCTCGAGGGGCAGCTGCTGGAGGAAGTCGCACTTCAGAGCAGGGTTGACGGCGTCGGCAATGACGCGGAGCGTGGGCCGAGGACAGCGGCGGAGGAACTGGTACATCATGAACGTCTTCATGTCCGTCTTCATGGAATCAAAAGCCTCGAGCAGGGTCTGCGTGTCCATGACAACGGGAGAGGGCGATAGATCCACCAAACCAGGGTTGGCGACGCGGAGGTCCTCGAGATCTCGGTAGGAGGAGCCTGCATCTACAGCATCGCCCTCCTGCTTCACCTGAGAGTCGTCAATCCAGACCGAGCCAGGGTCCGCCATAGACGTGTGGAAGCTGGCGGTGGCATCATCGTCGTGGTCGGCAGAAGGGGGCAGGGAAGCTGCCAGGGTTGGGGACAACCTCGGACTAGGAAGACTGGCATCCTGGGCAGCAACGACGTCGATGGCGGGTCGGTGGTGCAACGAGCGAACAGACTGCTGGAGAGACTCGTCAACGTCGACATGGCCGAATGGGGCCGCATCGGCGTCGGTGATGGGAGGCGTGGCAACATTGCTACTGAAGACGGTGAGGGAGTCGCTGCCCGAGGGACTCGCAGCGGCGTCGCAGGGGGCAGACTGCGACAAGCTGGGGGCCGAGTCGGGCGGCGAGCTCTGGAGACGTTCCAGGTGCAACAAGCGTCGCCGTGACGAACGCTGCGAGGAGGAAGAGGGGCCTGGTAATTCAGATGTGTCGGGGGTAGCCAAGAAGCCGGGGCCGTCTCGGACGGGCCGGTCCGCGAGGACGCGGCGGCTGCTCGAGCTCGTGGTGCCGCTGCCGCTGCTGCAGCTTGCCTCGGAATTGATGGCAGTGCCACCGCCTTGGACGACGGAACGACGCAGGTTATCCGAGACGGCGTTGAGATTGGACGACCGAGCAAGGCCCCGCGAAGGTTTATTAGAGGTGGACTTGACAAAAAACTGTGACACGGGGGCGCCGGCGCCGGCGTCAGCTGAGGATGTGGTGTTTGGGGGCTCGGCGAGGCTGGCACGTGCCTGTCGCGTGCGTCGGGGGTACTTTTCGGAAGGAGATCGGGTAGCTCGACTCGGCCCGTCGAGGGCGGATGGGGAGTGAGGAGCGACGGGTTCGAACCTGACAGCCATGGGCGTCATGGCACGGCTGGCGGATCGATGCATCTGGAGGAAACAGTGTATTGTCAGTCAAGGGCGTGCAATCACCGCAGCGGCGCAAGGCGGCCGCGTTTTGTTTCTCCCTCTCCCCCCCGGTGTTATTTTTGGGGGGGAGGGGAGGGGGGGGGGGCGGTTGGTCGGGTCAGGGCTGGGGAAGCAGGATGCTTACGGGTTTGGCGTCCTGTTGCTCGTCGTCGTCTTGGTCGTCGTCACCGTGCCGGCCGCCGTCGAGCAGGTTGTACGAAAAGCCAAGCAGCTCGGGGGGCGTGGGCTTCAGGGCGAGCGGGTACTCTTTGGAGTCGAGTTTCTCAAGCGGGGTCGGGTCGCGGACAAAGACATGGGGAAACTTGCGGGTGAGGCGAGTCGTGGTTGTGACCGTCTTGGTCTCGACGCACTCGCTGACCTGGAGCTGGAAGCGGCGGTTCGAGCTGTGGTCGGCCATTCCCTGGGCACTCCTGGGACGCCGAGGCTCTCCAGGCCGCCCGACAGGCGAAGGCGAGGGCGTCATGGGCTGGTTGGTGGTTGCAGGAGGGAGGATCCAGATGAGCGCTTCTCTCTCGCTCTCCTCTTCAGGCCAAGGGTCGGGGTTGCAACGCAGCGGTGGAAGGGGACAACAGCCGCAGATGTGCAGACGCTTGGGACGGGGAGAGGAGAGGGGAGGAGGGGGAGATGTGTTCGCCTGGGGTGTCGGTCAGGGAGACGAGGACAGGACGAGCGATTTTTTTTCTTTGCCGTCTCTCTTGCGTGGCTCGATGGAGGAGAAGGAAGCGCGTGGGTGTCGCGCGCAAGCCGGGATGGTGCCTTCTCCGATGGCGACGAGCGGGGGGGGGCGGATTTGGAAGAGGGAAAAAGCCCACAGCACCCTCTTCAGGCCGCCTCGGCCTGTAAGGTACACGGGCAAGCGAGTACCTAAGGTATCTATCTAGGTACCTTGCTCATAGGTACCGTCAAGGGGCGCCGAGGACCTGCTGGGATCGTCGGCCACGTATCGTGGCCCGCGGCATTACAGTACTTGAACTTGGGGCTAGGGGTTCTTGGTTAGCAGCTGGTACGTCGGTACCTCCGCGTGCGAGTCTCGATGGGGGCATGGCTTTGGTAGGTGAGGCCGAGGCTGGCGCCAACAGACAAGGATGAAAGACAGTCTGTTTGTTGCGGATTCTTGATTAGGCGCGGCTTTAAAATAGAAAAATAAAATAAAATAAATCTCCAGTTCGTGCAAGCCAAGTGGGCAAGCGGTGGCGAATAAACGAAGCCGGCTAACACTCGTCTTCAATGCTTTGACTCTCCCGCTCGGCGCTCTGCTTCTTTTAACGGTCCGGACGCCTTCTGTCCACTGCTTTTCAACGGCCTCTTGCCCCCCCCCCCCGCCACCCCTTCTCCTTGATCACGATGACGGTCGACGAGGGGCGGTGCAAACTAGACGAAGGCTGCCCCTCTGCCAGGGAGACTGGTACAAGTGCCCCCTGTACCCGTCTTACCCACAACTAAGTACCTTAAATGCGGGAGATACCTCTCCGCTTCGCTGGCGGTACCTCCACTTTTAGTCGGCCGCGCTCAATCTGGAGGGAGGCGCACGCATCTGTTGCCCGCGACTAGCACGGCCGCGCTTTTCCAGTGCAACAGGATGAACATGCCGTGAGACAGTGCCTCTTTTCTTTCGGTCTGGGCTCATCGATCCCCCTGCCAGCAGCAGTGGTGTCTGTGTAGAGTGTTTTTATTAGGCGCCGAGACGCGCCTCTGGTGCTTGGTAATCTTGGCCGAAGCGGGCAGCCATGCCCCGGGGGCCACAGGCAACAGGAAATGGACGAGTCGCGCATCCGAGAGGCGTTGCAGCCAGCCAACGTCCACTGGGCTTTCAGCGCTCCTCCAGCGCTCTTTCGGCGCGTCTCAACACACCCCAACACCCACAGCACCTATAACACAAATTCTCGAGTGCTGGTTCGTCCGCTGGTAAACGTCGCCCCTTCTTCCTCCGAGTTACCTTTGCAAGGCGTCTCGCACACGCTCGGATCAGCCAGCACGACGTCGGTTATACGGCCAAACGTCGATCCAACAAGACCGCAATAGGATTGGCAGCCGGCAGTCCATCACCTGGTTTCCCCCCACTCCTCTTGGCACCTGTCGCCATTCCGAGCGTTGAATGTACCCGTGGGCTTCTCACTTAGCGGCAGGTGGGACGCAAAACTTGTCTTGGCCACTTACTCAACCACGCCGAACATGGATCCATGTCTCCAACTTGGCTGGTAGCGGCCGCTTTCTACTATACCTGTTTTTCATGCGAGAGCCTCGGTCAACGATAGTCCCATCTCGGTTATCGTGGCGGAGCGAGGACTGTCTCTCCCTCGCGCCTCTGCGACCAAGACATGACACGAGATGACTATTTAATCGCCAGATTTACGCCCCCGGTTCAATATATAAAAGAGACAGGGGCGTATCGTGCATCGACGCCCCGATGCGCCGACATGAATCAACCGCTCGCCAGTTCCGCTTCTCCTTACCAAGTAGGACTTCTTGAGTTTAAAGTCTTGGTAATGCTTTGCACAAAGTACTTCAAGAGCACCTCATCCCATCTTGAGGGGTGCCTCTTTTTTCTAAGCCTTTCTTTGGCATCTAGCTCGAGTTGGTTATCGTCATTGCAAAGCAAAGGAACCATGAATCCGTTCGCTTCCAGAGCGACTTCACTATTGTTCAGTCTCGCATCGTCCTCTTCACCCCCTCTCTTCCTGAGACCCATCACGTCTCAAGATCAAGCTGTGCTTACGTGCCGTGCCATCTCTGCCCTGCAGCCGCCCAAGCAGGCGAAAGCATCAGCGATTCTCGTCCGCAGTCGATCGATCCTCATCCTCAGCACTAGCTGAAGGGGTAGATGTACATGCAAAGCATTTCGCCCCGTCCGCAGGCCAAGGGAGACAGGTGGACAATAGTCGCCTCGACTTAATGCTTGCTGCATTGTGGGGGTACCTTGGATATATAGCAGCCAGCTGTTATCTGCGCGCAAAGTGCATGCGCCGACCCTTGCGCAATCCCGGCGGCAGAATTCGTCGCTATAGAACCAACACCGACTCAGTCCTTCACCAACCGACGGCCTCGTGTCCAATCACGGCGCGGCCGACCTCGGGCGACTCGGCGCCGGCTAAGCCATCCGTCGCCGACGGAGACGCCGTCGCTGACTCGGCTTCCACTGGTCCTGCCATCTCTCTCCATTCTCGCCTGTGGCCGTTGTTGGCGTGCCTGGTACAACGCTCATGCGGACCCGGGCAGGGCCGGTGCCGGGCAATTAGGAAGGCTTGCAGCGGCCGGCTGTCCAGAAACCTCAACTTACCGTCCGCTTTGCCGTGGCTCGACCGCCACATTGTCATCCAGGGATATTGTGGAGAGGAGGATCAATAGCCATCAAACCTTTCGATGTGCGTGCTTTGGCTCGTGCGTAAAGTGCTCATTGTCGGCCGACATAAAATCTCCTGTACATCCAACCAGCCCTCACTCCGCCTTCAAGCAATGTACACAGGCATCCGGCTACCCAGCAACTCGCTCTTGCTCACCTGAAGGTCCTCCCGGTGGAAATCGTGTAGCATCAGCCAGCAAATCATCCTGAAAACCAGCACGCACCAAATGTCGTCGTGTGACGCAGGCTCATTCGCCAGCGACATCGGCTCTGCGCATTGCTCTTGCCCGCCGAGATTCTCCATGTCTTGACCCGCATGTTCCTCGTCCGTCTCATCGCCTTCGTTGCCTTCAACAACCACCTCGTTCCGCAGCAGCCGACTGTTCGACGCCCCATCCAACCCGCTGGAGAAGGCGCTTGGAGAGACCGGGACGGCACTCGGCGCTACCGTTCCTGGATCGGTCCATGCGGCCACACTGGCCTGCGTCCCGCCCGTCCCCCGGGCTCTCAGGCCGTAGCCTGCGGGAGCGCTGGGATCGCTCGCTCTGCGGTGCCGAGGCTGCGGACGGTTCGAGCTTGCTCGGCGATTTGTCGACTCTTGAGCATGTCTCACCACATGCGGCCGTATAACCTCAAAGTACACTTGCATAAACTTGTGTTGTCGGTCGTCCGGGCTTGCCTCGTTGATCTCTTCAAAGCTCGGCAAGTCAGCTGGCAAATCAACCTGCCGGAATCCAACGGGGGAGACCGGCCGCACGCCCGTCAAAAGCAGAGACTGAGTGTCAAAGCCCCTATCGTCACGTTCGTTGAGTAGTCGCAAAACCTCTTGGAAGTGGGATCGGAGCACATCTCGGACCACCTCGCGCCGACGCTGCTGCAAATTTGCCTCTTCATCACCCACCCGAGGCGATGCATTAGCCTTCGGGCGGGCCAGCGTGCCAACATGGGCGTGACGGCGGCCCCTGAGTTTTGCTGTCAAGATCTCGTCGGCATCAGCAAGGGCAGCATGCAGCGTTTTCAGGAGAAGAAGCCGCCCAACGACATCATCGCGTTGATGTCTCAAGATCTCATCAACATGATCCTTAACGCGACGATAAATGACGCCATTTCGCGTCATCTCGACTGGTTCAGCTCCTAACAGCGTCCCGTACGACTGCATGATCTTGACGAGGGACAGAGACATCTCATCCCAGCGATCAGGAGTCGGATTCGGAAGGTATGTAAAGTAGCTATCGTCAATGTGGAATGTGCGAGCAAGCATGCCCACAATCTCAAAAGACACTGTGTACCAGCATCAGTGCGTCTCGACGACTACAGAGGCCTCGGCAGACTTGAAAGGGAGGCTTACTGGGAAAGAGATGGGCCGTCTTGCCGTTGTCGTCCAAGAAGTGTTGGACAGAGTTCTTGTTGCAACCAATGACCACAAGCGTCTGCGCAATCTCACTCTTGGTGGCCATTTGCAGGGAGCCGAGGTCCCGGAGCTCGTCGCTAGGCGCCGCCAGCCGTCTTGGGTCCGAAGACTCACGGTAGATGGTCGGGACGAAGCCGAAGCAGAGTTCCTTGACCTCGTCGACCGGGATGACGCGATTCCGCTCAAAGGTGCACTGGCCGTATACTTGGAAAGAGAACATGAGGCCTAGGTTGCTCACCCTCTCGCCCAAGACCATGAAGCCGTTGCCTTCGGCGCGGTATCGATCGCGACTGCGGTCAAACTCCTTCCAATACACGCCGAGGGCGGCCATGGTCTCGACGAGGTGGCACATGGTGGTGGTGGCATAGGGTCGGGAAACAGAGGCTGGCATCGTGTCCCAGCTCTTGCGCTTCCGCTGGACAGCTACCGTCAAGGTATGGCATTCTCGAAGAGGCGGCGGAGCGCGCATCAATCCGTATTTCTCCGACGCCGGGTTGGGCGGCCCATGAGCAGCGTACTGATCCTTCTGCCACTTGCAGGATTCGGCCTCCATCCGTTGGACGTTGTACAGCAGAACAAGCCACGAGGCTCGCTCGTGGTCGGCCGTTTGAATCCTCTCGTTGGCCTCGGTGGGTTTGCCATCCTTGGGCGATAAGATGATGGTGTTACCAGGAGTCTGTCTCGTTACCGGTTCGTCCCCCCTCTCGCGCGTTCCCGTCTCGTTGCGACTCTTGGGCGTGCCGTCGAGGAAGAAAATGGGCGCGTTGGAAATGGGCCCCTTGGTATTGCTTGGGGGCGAGACAAAGATGACCGGAGCGTCGAACTGCACGACAAACCGCAGCTCCTCCCAGGAAAAGCGGCGGGACTTGGACTTTGCCCATGCCCCCATGACCTCTTGATTACACTGCGAGTAGCCGGATGCAGAAGCATAGTATTGCTGGAGCACTTGCATAAAGGTGGCCGTTAGGGCGACGAAGGAGATGACGAGGGCCACACTGGCCACAATGAGCTCGGGTTCGGTGCTTCCCATAGTATCGGTTGGTGATGAGACTGCCAAGAGCAATGTAATCGGCCGTACCTGGCGTCGGGAGCAGGCTTGGATGCGAAAAGGGCCCGGCGGAGCGACTGCAGCTTGATGGCCCTTGGGACAACTCGTCTTTCCCTCGACCCGTCCGCCTGTCGCCACCAGGGTGAGCAGCTGATGGCGGGGGAGCTACTGTCTGGTCGGCAGCCGTTAATAGCCACGCGTACCGGACGATGGCCCGACTCGACGAGGAGGAGAGTCTTCCGCTATGAAGAAAGCGGCGGCAGTAGGAGGTTGCGAGCACGGCGTCTTGGCGGCTCAAGTCAGCGTCTGCTGCCTTTAAAACGGGCAAGCCAACAAATACTATATGGCTAAGCATGTGGGACAGACACACGCTGATTACTTGCCGGCCATCGTTCAGCCCATCTGACAGGGGTCCTCGTCCTGTTGGCCGCAGCCTCCTGCAGCACATGCAGCTGCCCACGGCCCAATTGTGTGAGCCCGGGAGCAGTTTGGCTTCGTACTGCGGAGTCAGCTTCGAGGCGCCAAGTCAGCCTGTTATCTTGCCTGGATGCGTGGCACAGAGAAGCTTGAAGAAGGCGGTGGCGAGGCGCAAAATTCCCTGCCATTTGCGAATCTTCTGTCTGATGTGAGAGGCCTCCCTCGTCCTCGATGCAGAGATGAATGTGCAGATCGGGACATATGCGAGTTTGGCTTCACACTGCGCAATAGATGCTCAAGGTACCCTGCAACAGCCTAAGGCCGCCCGGCAGCCTAAGGCTACCTAGGGAAACCTCGAAGCTAGCTCGTGGGCTGAGGTTACCGTAAGGAAGGCGCCTAAGGCCCTAGCTAAGGCCCCGGCTAAGGCCCCGGCTAAGGCCCCGGCTAAGGCCCCGGCTAAGGCCCTAGCTAAGAGAAACGTAAAGGAGGACTTCTAGCTTATCCTAAAGCTAAAAAAAGGATTGTTAACGCCGACTATTAGCCTTATCGCTCTTTATAATAAGCTTAATAAGGCTATAAGAAAACTAGCTATATTAGCCCTATTAATTTTAAATAAGGGTAATATAGTTATAATAATAAAGGCCCCTTATATAGTAAAGAAGCTTTTAAATTAATAGGATAAGTAGTCCCTATACTTTAAGTAGCTACTTATTAAATTAGCTAACCTTCCTACTAACTAGACTAAGCTAGTAGCCTAGAGCGTTCTTAACCTCTTAGAGACTCCTAGTATCGATATCTTTGCTATTATTAAGGGCTAGTATTATAAGGGAATATATATCACGGTATAATTACTTAGGTAGTAGAGATAGCTAGAGGTACTACGCTATATATATTATATTCTCCTCGTTATAAGACTAAAGCTTATAAGAAGAGGAATTTCTCTTCTTTAGTTAAGGTAGCGAGTAGTCTATAACTTATAAGTAAGGTAAGCACGATTCCCTATTAATACCCTACTAATACCTTAGTACTATATACCTAAGTACTTTATTAGCCTATACCTCTTAGTAGTACTCTTATAATTATCTCCCTTTTTATATAGACGTCTTAGCTATAACTTTAATATATATTACTTTTACTATACTATATATATTTAGTTAGGAAGAGAGGTAGTTTCGGTTATATATTATATATATACGCCTATATAAGTATATATTAGTTTATACTTTATAACGTTAATAGTTATTATACTAACGGTTACTACTAAGTAACCGTTATAATATCGCCTATATATTAGCTATATAACTATAATATAAAGAGCGTATATATATATCTCTTACTTTTTTTATTTTCTTTTCTTTTTTAACTCTTTTACTTATAATTATTATAAAGTTTTACGCCTTTTTTTATTAATCCCTTATACTTTTTTATATTACTTTTTATTAACGATTTATTAATAATAATACCTTTTACGCTAAAGAAGATAAAGGACTATAATACTAATTTCCTATACTATATATAAGAGTAGGTAGTAGGAGGTTCGCCCTTAAAGTATAAGTAATTAGCCTAAAAGTCTTATAATAACGCTAGTTCCCCCTTAGTAAAGAAAGCTAAGAAAGGTATAAGGGATCCTAGTCTTAAGAGACTTTTAGTCTAGGACTTAATATTAGTAAGGGTCGTGCCCTTATTACCCCGCTAAATACCTTAACTCTAACCCCTAATAAGCTTACCTTTATAAGCTAGGAAACTTATAAGTCTATTACCCTTATAAGTAATATTAATATTAGTAAGGAGATTATACTTAAGCGCTCCTAGGTAAGTATTAATAACCTAGCTACTCTATTTTAATAGGGCGGCTTTAGTTAATAGGAGATTATCGCCTAGGCCGCTCCTTAGAATAAGTAGGCCGATATTAATAATAAGGCCTAGCTAAATAAAGGCTAAGACTATCTTAATACCTAGCTAAATAAGGGCTAAGATAATAATAATAGTAATAATAAAGATAGCCGCGATCTAACTCCTTTTACTAATAAACCTAAGAATAGCAGCGCTAGAGATAAGGGTACCTAGGCGGCGGTATAAGGTAGTCGCGCTCCTATAAAGAAGCGTACTTAATCTAAGGCTAAAGCCTACTTAGTTAAGGCCTAAGGGGTTATTCCTTATAAGCTTTAGTATATATATTATTTTAGGATAGTTATTAAGGAGTATAGTATAACCGAGCTTAAGCTTATTAAGGTGCTCTTAATTAGCTATATTTTTTAAGGGTTTCCTTAACGCGCTATAAGTAGTACTATAGATATACTACGACCTATAATTAAGTAAGTTTCCCTTTAACTTTAAATATTATAATTAATAAGCTAATCTTTTTTAAGGCTACTACTCTTATATCTAATAACTAAGCTAATATAGTCGCTATCGTTAAGTACCTATATAAGCTTAATAAGCTAAAAACTAGTAATAAAGATACTAAGGATAATAGCTTAAACGTAAGTATACTTATTTTCGAGGAGGCTAATTAGCGCTATCTTACTATTATAGTATAGTATTTAACTAAGGCTTTTAACGTCGCTAAAACGGCCTATTATAAGTCCTTTAAGACTATAAGTATATAGAAGTCTATTATTATAAGTTTTATCTAACCTTTTTATTAGCGACCGCTTAACGATATACTAAGTTAAGTATATTAACTACTATATATTAATTAATAAGCGCTACGAGCTTATTATTCGCTTTAACCTTATACCCTTATTTAATATTGCCTATATAAGCCTAGAGTACTAGGCCTAGGAATCTTAGTTAAAACTCTACCTTATTAATAGCGATATAAGCTATACTTCTTAGTAATATACCTTACTATTTACTAAGGCTAAGGTAAGTACTATATTAATAAAGATAGGTCTTAATATAGAAGATAAAGAAGGAGTAAAAGATAAGGTAGTTTTAGTATTTCTAAAGGTATTTAGTATAATAGAGGGGGCGCCTTAGTTAGTTCCTATTACGCTAGTAAAGAAAAGGGGTAGTTAAAAGTAATAAATAAGTCTTATATTTCTTTTATTTAATTATAACTATCTTTCTCTTTTTTATTATTAAGGTCTTAATAGAGTTATAGTTTAGTTTTATTTTCCTTAATAATATTTAATAGGTAATATAAATAGTTCTCCCTTATTCTCTTATTTTACTATTTTATATATAGTTATAGGACGTTTAAGCGTACTAATATATTAATAATTTAGTAGTAATTTAATAGGGATTCGTTACTAATTTAGTAGCGTCTCCCTATACTAATAAGTTTCCTTACCTTACTTAGTCTTATACTTCTTTTTCCTAGTTAAGCGAGTAGTATATTCTTTAATAAGGTCTTAGCTATTTACTATATCTTTAATATCGACCTATTAGTTATACTTAGCTAGCTATCCTTTTTATTTAATAAGGAAAAAGGTATTACCCTTAAATCTCTTTTAGTCTTTAATCTCTTAGACTTTTTATTTACCTTTATTATCCTTTAAGTTTAATATTAATAGGGTTTCGCTATCTTTATAGGTGCCTTTACGCTCCTTTTATAGCTCTAAGTATAAGAGTCTTTAACTATTATAGGTTATAGGCTTAGGCTATAGCCTAAGCTATATAGTTATATATAAAAGGCTAGATCCTATATATATATATATAGGCTAGCCGCGTATAGGAGAGCTCTATATAGCTTATTAATATTATCCTATAGATAGCACCTATATATACGCCTCTACTTACTCCGTAATAGTATAAGCTATTAACTAATAGATTTAATAGATATCTTTTTAAAGAGGGTGCTACCTCCTTAAGGAAGTACTCTGCCTTTCCCTAGATAGATAGGAAGTATTATAGCTATCCTAAAAGCGATTAAAAGCGCGACGGCTAGCGAGAAGGATAAGGTTCTCGCTATACTAAGGGAGCTATTTATAGGACTAGCTTTAACCCCTACGACCTCTATACCGCTAGTTATAGTAGCGATACTACCGACGTAAAAGCCGCTCTCTTAGCCGACTTAAGATAGTAGGCCGGAGTCCTTTTACTTCTTTCTTAGCTAGCTATAAATAAAGTTTATAACTAACGAGAAATAAGGCCTAAATAGCTATTATAATATAGTATAGTATTTACTCCTTTATATACTACTAAAGCCCTAGATATAGTAGATCTTTAGATTCTAGGATAAGGGCGGCCCTAAGGGTAGACGTAACCTATAAGACTTCTTTTAATACCTTATATATACGTTCGGCAACGTATAAGAGTAGGAGAAGGTATAAGATAGGCTATAAACCCTTAAGTAAAGAGACGGATAAACCTTTAGCGAATTCCTCCTTAATTTTAAAGAGACGCTCTTATAAATAGTAGGGACTATAGTATAGGAAGATAGCGCGAAGCTTATATAGCTATAGAATTCGATTATACTAGCCCTATAAGAGCTACTTATCTTTATAATTATACCTACTAACTATAATAAGTATATAAGCTAGTTAATAAAGGTAGTATAGGGCTATAAGTAGACGTTATATTTCTAAAAGCTTTATAGGCGCACGCTATATAATAGCGAT